TTCAAAATTTCATGCAAAATTTAATAAATTTCACATGAACAAAAACTTCCCACCAGTTGTCTTTGAAAGAATAAACACAAGATGACTTCCAGCAGATTGAAAATACACATTGTTGTAAAAGCTACACAACCAAACCACATCATGGAATAAAATCTCACAGTGAATCTTTCAGGCTTACAGAAAATGACTGTCACAAAGTCTTTTCCTGAATGTAATTTTTTAAAACTTATTTTTGTTGAGGAAGAGCATGATTAGTAGCAGAAGAGGGGGAGAATGTGTTGAAAATCAAAACCCTGAAAACAGCATGATAACTACTTTCCATTTCTGAAAAACATTCTCTTGAATGTATTCTCAAAAATACATGAAATATAGAAACTGCTCAAACATAGCATTCAGAGGTTGCAAAAAAAAAAAAAAAAAAAAGACAAGTAAATGTGAAAGAAGAAAAAGCGAGAAACAGAAGTTAGAGAAAGTTGGGATTATAGGCTAACTTTATCTATAGTATTAGCAAATCAGAGTCTTCCTGTTGTATAATGGTCATTTTTGGGAAATAAATCCAAATGTAAATTATTATATATTGAGACACTAGAGTATGTGATGTTCTTTATGTTGATAAATATTGAATGTGATTTTTAAAATAACTGGTAAAGTTATACTAAGGCATCAATTTGGTCTTTGGTATTTGGATATTATTTTTATTAGTTTAAAGATATTTTTATACCTAAAATAATTATAGAAAATAGACACATTTATCCAGTTAATAAATTTATTTGAATAAATATTTTTCTTAAAAGTATCTCTCATATCCCATTTTATTTTTATTAGGAAGAATAAGTTAAGAAAATTTCATGATTCTAACAATCAACTTGAAACGTATATTACCTATGACCTTTTTGTTAACTTCTCAATATATATTCCCAAAATTGTTAATTATGTTCTGGAAAGAATTAAAATAGCCTTCTTGTTACTCTGTAAGTACATATAACTCTAGAATTTTCCTTTAATATATCTTTACTGGAAGATAGACGTTAATGAAACATGCTGCTTCCTAAAACAAACATCTGGCCATAATATTTTCCTGTGTGGTGGTAAAATAAACTCAAAAGCACTGGGTAAAGAATAAGTGCAGCCGGGCAGCACCCTCAGGTATCCTCCTGCTCTGGGAGTTTTTTGTCCTCTCAATAAATCCTGCTTTCTAAAATAAAAAATAAAAATAAGTGCAGTCAATCTAAAATCTAAATTCAACTTCTTTTACCACCTTATATAATCATTATTTCCCTGCATGAATCCTCTAGTCTATATAGCAGAATCTACCTTTGCATATTTAATTAAGCTGCCGCCTCTGCTTCCTTCTGTACCTACTCCTCCACCCCCAACGGTATCATTCTCCCTGTTCTACAGAACAGCTCAGATGTAGCATATTATTCACACAGTTTGAACGTGTTCCTGTAATCCTTCATAGCGTTGTATCAGAGCTTCTTTTAGAATACTTTCCACTTTTTGCTTTATATTGCATTGTCCATAGCTTTTTATATGCAAGTTGTAACTCTCAAATGAGCCTCAAATTTCACTGATGATGACAACCATCGACAAGACTTTTTTTTTTTTTTTTTGAGTTGGAGTCTCACTCTGTCGCCCAGACTGGAGTGCAGTGGCCGCTCCCGGCCACCGCAGCCTCGACCTGCAGGGCTCCGGCGATCCTTCCGCCTCAGCTTTCCCAGTAGCCGGAATTACAGGCATGCGCTACCACGCCCGGCTGATTTTTTGATTTATTGTAGAGATGAGGTCTCTCTGCCCAGGCGGGTCTCGAACCCTCAGGCTCAGACAATCCACTCACCTCAGGCTCCCAAAGGCGCGGGATTACAGGCTGAGCCAACAAGCCCGGCTGCCAAGACATTTTTAAGGACATTCTTTTGAATGCCTGGAATATTGTCTTATGTATAGTGAATGTTTAGAGCATCTTATGCAATTAATAAATGTTGGGTTGTTTGAATCTCTATTGGAAACCAAAGAGGCACATTGGAAATGCTAGTAGCTATTTTAGAATAAGAATTTGATAGGATTTAATGCTTTTTGAAATAAGAAAATTACTTTGGTAAAAATATTTGAGTGACAGTATTATGGCCAATTTTTAAATTTTCAGAGATAGTATTGTTGGACAATAAACCTTAACCATCTGATGAACACACTGTAATCTGTAAATGGTACATGCCTTCTTCACAGGATATAAATTCAAGATCCTTAAATACACATTTTCTTCATTCTCTTTCACCTAAGAGTTTAAAAAATCATCACTAAAATAGGTTTTTATGTCTCTGTAGTGTTGAAGGGCAAACATTCTTCATTCTCATAACCTCAGAAAAGAAGATAAATGTAATCATCTCTCCTAAGACTGGAAGCTTTTTGTCTTTTTTCTTCAATCAGTGCTTCAAAGAAGAATATGTTCTGTTTTTCTCTGATCTCTTCTTTTATTAAAAATAACTGCCTCACTACATCTTTCACTGGCACAAGTCAGAGTAAGAACTTGTCTTAAAAAGAGTGGGAACATGGTAAAAAATGTTGCATTTAACATTTTCATTTTAAAATTATGTATTTGGAAACTTTGAAAAAGTGATTGTATTCTGTGTGTGCTAGTCTTATCTCCAAATGGTTGTGAGTTACTTTTGGCTATAGGATTTATAAGATTTTTAATCCAAAATGAAAAAAGAATTTAACTTCTGTAGATGAGAAAATTAAAATGAAAATGATTTTATTTTTTTCAGATAATAATTAATTCTCCTTTAATGCTAAGACACACACACACACACACACACACACACACACACAGAGAGAGAGAGAGAGAGAGAGAGAGAGAGAGAATTTGAATTTGATTTATATATCTCTCCAAAACTATTCTGAGATTTGACCTATTCTTGAAATTGAAAGCCAAGTCAATAAAAATAACATAGCTAGAAGCTAAGCACAATTTGAGCATAAAATGCGGGGCCCTTTCCCTTTTCCAGAGTAATCAACTGTAGAGTTCCATTTGTTGAAAGCTGATTAAGCACTGTCCATACTAAGAGATAAGTAAAGACTTACCCCAAAATTATTAGATTCAAGAATGTTCCATTACCATGCTCAGCTAACTGGCATTTTGTGCTGAATCTGAAATGAGTCTAGATGAATTTTTGTATTCAAATATAGATATTCAGGTAAACCTAAATGAAGACACCCAATCAAACTTATAGGTAAAGCTCAGTAAGAGCGAACAAAAAACAGTGACTAAATGTTAATTGAACTTTCTGCTTTGCTGAAAATCATGGACTCAATATACCTTGCTCCTTCTTTCCAGATTTCTGAATAAGTTGTAGCACACTAAATGTCTAAGTCAAAGCACTTGTTAGTAATTAATAGCCAAAGTTTGTCCATTAGGTCAACATATCTAAAATTATGATTTATTATTATTTGATCATTTTGTCTGTTCTTTGTGTAAACACATTTGAAGCGAGCTCCAATTAATTGGCATGCCTAATGGTTAGACACAGGCTGGATACAAAATAAATGCAAAAAAAATGGTCACTAACTTCTAACTAAGTCTTCCATATGCTGGGTACTATAATTCTATATACGTTACATATTTAGATCACACCAATATCTAATTACCTATTTTGAATATTCTCTTAATTTCTGAATATTCTTAAAGAAGATATTTGTGTGTTAGTGTGTAGATTTATGTGGTTAAATGAATGCTTCCCAGAATGTTTTTCTTCTTGTGCTATATTATAGGAAAGTCACAACTTAATGTTGTAGACCCATATCTTAGTGAAAATTTTCTCTTCAATCTCCTTCTTAAATCTGTGTTTGTAAAATTTGTCATAGGAAGAATTTATTTTGTAATTTTGTAAAAGTTATTAATTTCTCAATGTTTGTGCAAAAAGCATTTGTAATTAATACATTCTGCTAAAAATTGCCTTGGATAAAAATATTGTTAACCTATTAATATTTCTCTTAGTTTATCAGCTATCATTTTGTACAGAGCCTGTCTGTAGAGAAGTATCTTATTATAAAAAAGTAAATTGGTTTCAAAGCTATATTTTATTTAAGTCTATAAATAACCATTAAATCTTACAGAATGTGTTGATATACACTACTGACATGTGGTTCCCTAGCTGATTATTTGTGTCTAGTGGATGCTCAAAGTCAATATACTAAGTCTTAGCTCACTAAATTAGGAGAATTTTCTTTTAATACTGATAAACAGGAGCTTTTAAAGTGTGGTATAAGTGCTAAATTATTCCAGCCAATTTGCAGGTAACTTATGTCATTGATGCTTTTTTTTATCAAACAAGCAAATTAAAAACATGAGAACCAAATCCATATGTATAATACTGATATAACTGCCTGGTCTTAGAGTTCATATAAAAATAGTCTTTGTGATGCTTTCATTAATACATTAAAAAAAATTTACGCAGAAACATATTTCTAGACTACAGAAGTCCCATTTTGCCTTTATATTTAGATTTAATATTGGGAGCTTAAAAGCAATCAATTATTATTTTAATGTGTAATCAAGATAAATCTGAAGTGCTTTGTTTTACAATATCAGAGAAATAAATTTTAGTTTTAGAATTATGCAGAGGATCTTGACATTTACATAAATAGTTACATGTATACACACATTTTCATCTTTCAAAACCTCATCTGTAAAATTACCAGGTGATTCTTTTTTAAATTCCATGGATAGTTTATCCAAAATTTAAGTCCAAAAGCTAAATGGACTTGTACAACCTGATCTTCCTAATTCTCTTTTCATAGGCAAGTCAAAACACCAAGCTCTACCATAGTTGTTCAAGGTTTACCGTCCCTTCAGGGTGAACATAATTCAGAATAAGCAACATCAGAGTATGTGTATCAAGAAGTTATTCCCCAAACCCCTCCGTGTCTCTTTCAATTGAGCTTCATAATGGAATACACACCATTGTGATATAAAAAATGATAAAGCAGCATCTGGAAAGCTAAAATGTTGTAAAAAGTTTAAATTACACTTTATTCCTCAGGCTTAAAACACAAATTGAGAATTATTCAAATTTAACTTACTTCCCATACCTCAAAATTATTATATGATAGCACAGGGCAGCTGCAAACAGAGGCAGAAATCCAAAATTTTTCACATGGGTAGAATCAGACAGAAAATGTCATAAAGCTTTTGGGGACACTGCATTATAACAAATTTAAAGAGCAAAGAAAAGCTCCCCTTGTAAATAATTCTTTAGGAATTCCAATTCATCTGAAATATATAGACATGGTTGTTTTTGGAATAGTATGAATTCTTACTTGAAGAACAACAGCAGCAACAACAAAATATTTTCTAAAACAATTTGGAAAATAAAAAGCCCCAAGAAATTCTAAGAAAAGTAGCATATTTATGAAAATATTAAAATAATTAGACTTGTATATTATATATTTATTAAACAATCACTTCACTGTTGAAATTCTCCCATGATAATATTTTATGCAAAATGTATGTAAATATATCTTTATAAGCTAATGGAACTAAAAAATTATATGAGTCTGCAAGCCTTTAGGTAACAGAATACTTTGCAGTTGGCAAAGCATTTTTACAGATGTTCATTTAATCCTCACAACAACCCTGTGAGGTAGGCAAGGAAGTCATTTCCATCTCTATTTCCCAGTTTGGGACCTTGAAACTCAGAGATTTGGGGGGATGTGTCCAAGGATAATAAGCATGAATCTCCTCTTTATTTTTTTGTTGTTCCCAGTCCTATACATTTTCCTGTAGATATCAACCATGTAAGAATTAATCAGTGAGATGGAGAAAGCCCAAATCTGTGTAAGGAACAAAGATAAGTCAACCATGAACCTATGAAATTTATGCTAATTGAAGGATACTCTTTTCCGACTACATCGTTATCATGTGAGGTACATATGTTTGCTATTTTATGATGAAAATAAATAAATTAGACTGATGTATAAGTTGATCAGAATCATTTTGGAAAACTAATTTTAGGTATAGGAATGATGAAAATTGCTGACTTAAATGCAGTAAAATAAGTAAAAACGATTAAAAGCATTTGGCAGAAGGTATGTAGCTATTTTTAAAATTAAATCTTTCCCTGACATATCAGATTTTCAGAATAAACCTTAAACCATTATTTCTACCCATTAAAAAAAAAGAAGTCTTCTGTCGAAATAAAAGGAGGTGGACAGGACAGAGACAGTAGTCTCGTGCTCAGGACAGTGCACACCTTGTGCACCAAAGTTGCATACATTATAGTGCAGGCAGCAAATCCCCATGCTCCATCCATTTTGTATGGAGAAAAGAAGTGGGGAGGGCAAAGGGAAATAGTACATACAAGTCCATGACAGAACGGCCTGGTATCTTGGCAATACCTCATGTAATTTAAACACAAGACAAGGCTAATGAGATCTGCCACAATAACAGGGCGTGGTCTCAAGGGTCCACCCAGAGAAGAGGAAAAAGAGGTCATGAGTACCTTCACAAGGTTCCTTTTGTAGTGTACCACCCCGATAAATCATAGTCATCTTGATTTTGATAAATCATAGTGATCTTGAGCCTTTTTGTTTCGTTTTGCTTTTGAAAAAATAAATCACAAAATATTGAAACAAATATCATTGTTTGGCTTAATTCAGGTATTCTTCATTAAACAGTACCACAGACTTTATTGAGCATTTGAAAATATACACAAGGAACAATAGCTTTTTCTCTGTATATATTTTTTTTAGATTTGACTTTCTTCGAATTACATAACCCAGTTTCGATCATGAAAAGGGCACTTGTTTCTACAGGAGCTGCGAACAGCTTGCTCAGTTCCAAGTACTGTTTCCACACATTTTCCTTGTCATTGCTGAGGTTGTATCTCCACTTGCTCAGGAAGCAAATTCTACAAGGTTGCGAGAATTGAGCCCCTAAGTTGTTCTTTCAGATTCTATTTCTCCATAGAGTTCAGCTAACTTTTTAAACTCAGGTCCCCAGTCTCCCAGGTAGTGATAATCCTGATCCGATTGTGTCGTTGCTGAATCTAGCGAGCTGATAGACCCAGCCTCTGATCTCTGACCCTCATAGGCATAAGTCTGAAGCGAGTCATAAGGGGGGACGCTGGGGTCTAGGTCTGCTTCTGCCAGTCTTTGCTTAATAAATTCCTGAACATCTATACTTTCCAAGGTGGACAGTGTCTGGTGTCTGGGAGTGAGTTTCACTTCAGGTCTGATATCTCTCCGATACTTGAGCTCTTCAGCAGCAGAAGGATTCCTCAAGGCTGTGATGTCAAAGGCCTCGGTGTCTTCCTCTCCGCCTCCCTCATCGTCGTAGGTGACCACATTCTCCCGAACGTCCTCCTCTGAAATGATCAAGGGCTCTTTTTTGCTGCGCCTCAGGGTGATGAAAAGCACAACAATTGCTGAGGGAAATAGAGAAGAGGGTAGATTTAGGAACAAAATGGAGAATATTCTTGGAGATTTGACAATAACAATTTCCAATCCATCATTAACCACATTGCAGAAATAGGTTTGCATGGCAGCACAACCCCCTCTGCCCTCTATTTGATGCCTGGAATGTTAAAAAAAGATTATCCCTAGGCAACATGAAACACTGATTTTCTGTGGAAAATCATAATGTCCTCATTTAGGTTTCTTGATTTATATTGCAGTGTATAAGGGAGGACCCAAAAAACCTTGAAATTACCTTTTTGGAGGATTGGCTTTCCCGGTTAGGTATGTGTTTTAGGAACCCATCTGCACTATTGTATCAGCTAGCGTTCTTGTGAGAGGTTGCGTTCCGCTACACTGAATTTATTTTATTTTATTTTTTGAGATTCTTTTGATACGTTGTTTGCCCATTTCATGATGTGTGCTTTAGGAGAGCCTCTGCCCACATCCCGCTGCGTTCAGCAGTTTTTGACCAAAGATGGCATGATCCCCATGCCCCACCCTCACTATTCACTCCATCTGGCCCCAGAAAGACATTTTTGTTTGTTTTTTTCCCCAGATGAAGAAAAAGGCCTCAAAAGGAAATGTTTGGGCCAGGTGCTGTGGCTCAAGCCTGTAATCCCACCACTCTGGGAGGCTGAGGTGAGAGGATTGCCTGAGCCGATGGGCTCAAGACCAACCTGGGCAACTTGACAAGACCTCATATCTACAATAAATAAAAAATTAGCCAGGCATGGTAGCACGCGCCTGTATTTCCAGCTACTTGGAAGGCTGAGGCTAAAGGATTGCCTGAGCCCAGCAGATCTAGGCTGCGGTGACCAGGAGCGTGCCACTGCACTCCAGCCTGGACCACTCCAACTAAAAAAAAAAGAAAAAGGAAATGTTTTGTCAATATGGAAGTGGGAGAGGAGAAATAAAAATGACTGGAGCATCAAAAAGCATCAAAATTGAAGTGTTTAAAAACTGTTTTGAGCAGTGAAAAAAAGTGTCTCAATAGGTGTATTGCATCAAACTGAGAGTACTCTGAATGGGACACATTTAAACCTTTGAGAATAAATAGAAGCTGGACTGAATAAAGAAAATGTGGTACACATACACAATAGAATATTATGCAGTCATAAAGAAGGACAAATATATGAATTTCGCAGCAACTTGGATGGGAGTCTATCATAATCAGTGATATGACAGAAACCAAGAACAGAGTACCATATGTTTTCACTCATAAGCAGACCTAGAATAATTATAATACTAAAGAAAGTGCTTGGCAGTAATGGGAAACTATCGGGAAGAGGTGGTAGGATTGGCAGTTGAGGGAAACTGCTAGGAGAGGGAGGGGCATACCTCATCAACAAGGGTACCTGCGTAATCAATGTTTGTATAACCTTGAATTGTACCCCATATCTTTATAATAAAAAAAGGGAAAAAAAAAAGAAACACACATTTTTTATAAAGACATTCTGTTTTTTGGGGGGAGCGTCACTTGTATCTACTTAGTGTATAAAGTGAAAGAAACAGATGATAGAAAAACAATATTAAATTATAGCTGGAAAAGTAATATAGTATGTTGATTTATCTATAGCTATTCTATCACTCTAGGAAGGTACATTAACAGCAGGATAATTTCAGTTTCTGTAAAATTGAAGAAGCCTTAACATTAAACTTTTACATTTCAATGGTTTGTGGACAACTGAAAGCAGGAATACTTTAATGGTTAATCTCTTTGGTCCATTATCCTTTAAAATTATATTATCATGCGTAATATACGCATTTACCTACTAAGCTACAAAAGAATGATTATTTGTACATAGCATATTTTGCATAGGAATTTTTCAGTTTATAAACGTTCTTCCCATAACTTATTTATTTAATCCTCACAGCAGAGATGTGGATTTACTTCATTTTTAAAATGAAGAAATTGAGACTCAAGAGAGAGTAACTTTATAAATAACATAAAAAAATAGGATCACACTGGTGGCAGGTGGAATAGCTTGGATCGCAATCTATAACTTCTTGCATCAAAGCTACACATCTACTAGACTATTCTACTTCATTATTTTAAAAAGTATCGAATAACAAGCTGAGCGACAAGTGGAGCATGTGTCTTGGGGTAGCTCTGCTAAATTCAGTGGTTAATCATTATTACCAATAATGCTACAAGATTAGATAATGTGATAGAAATTGGACTTCAGAACTTTACTATGGCCATATTTCAGTATTTTCAAACATATCTATTTTATATGAAATTGTTACCAAATAGAAAATATTCCTTCACATTAACTTTATTAGAGACTATGTTATTAGTATCAGTATAATATATTTCAGATTACAGATAGTTCTCCTCTTGCTCAGATAATATTCTAGGCTTTATGATAGTGGTTATGAGGTTACATATTATTTTAAACATTTCTTACATCATAATAACTGGGGAAGTACATTCAACTTACATCTAAGATTACTAGATTAACAAATAAGAATAAAAGTCAGGACACTCAATTGAATTTGAATTTGAGATAACAGTGTGCATGCGTACTATCCATGGGGGTTATATCCCTATTAGTTGACCATAAGTTGAAAATATCATAAATCAACACATTTAATACATCTAATGTACTGAACACCATAGCTGAGCCTAGCGTCCCTTAAATGTGCTCAGAACATTTATATTATCCTACTGTTGGGTAAAGTTAGTTAACACAAAGCTTATTTTACGAAAAAGCTATTATAAAGAATTTTTGATCGAAATTCAAAGTGTGGTTTACACTGAATGCATATAACTTTCACATCATTGAAAAATCATAAATCAAATGATTGTAGGTTGGAGACCTTTTGTGTGTACGTTAAAGTATCAAGTATTTTCCATGTAATATTTGGGATACGTGCATGCACAAATAGTGTGTTAAGCATACATATATTTGTCCCAATACACACAAATATGCCTATGTATATATTTTTACTTCTCTGAAATCCATAGGTAACTGTGTATACTGCATTGTGTCTGGCAACCCTAATTATTTGTGGTCTTTAAAAATGGTTGTGAAGCAAACAAACACCAAGTTAGTTGTCCTGAGTAAAGAAAATAACTTACTAGGCCCCTGTAAACTACTGCCCTTTTACTGCCTATCTCTACAAAGTAAACTCTCTCCTTACTTTTATCGTTATTGTTTCTTTGCTTCTCTTTATACCTTAACCCTTTTTATGAATACCTACAAACAATATGAATGAGTTTTATCCGTTTTAAAACTAGAGGAAATTTGAAGAGGATGAGGAATAGACTTAAAACCAGAGGTGGAAAGAGGAATGATGAGAGAGAGGGATGGCCAACATCCACTGGGAGGAATCTAATTCTGCAGAGGAAAGGCAAGTGGGAGCCTCTGGGAATGAGGTGGAAAAAAAAAAAAGACAGGAAAAACATCTTTAGAGCAGGTCATAGAATTACCCAGAAAAAGTATGGAATAAAAAGACATTGGCAAGTAATGAGCAAATACAGAGAGAGAGTACAGCAGACCTGAGAAGCACTGAATCACTGTGTTTAAAATGAAGTGGTTACAGAAAGTTGAAAATGAAGATGAAATGCTGATGCTCTGATCTACAAATGCTGTAAACACAGTAAAATAGTTTCTCATACTTGTTGCTGGCACTTCCTAGACTTAGTATAGGACTTGATTTGGGGGGTAAAGAAAGACTTTTGCTGAATACAGTAATTTAAATACACATTCAATACCTCCCTGTGTATTTTTGTTTACATCCATCTTACAACTTCCTAATTCAAAGACCCAAAAAATTCCTCAAGTAACTCTCTTCATTCCATTCAGATGTTTAAATTTATTATACACTATATATCTGCCCATCTTTATAATTAAATGAGGAGGCTGTTCTAGATTGAAAGACCTATTTGCAGACTGCCTAATTTATTACAGTAAAATTTCTTACCTTTGTCAATAAATCAAGCTATATTCTTTTATGTTAAAATGGTTGATGCCAAGGGAATTTATGTGCATGAACAACAGGGAAAATGTAATCAATATTGTTATAGAAGTATGCAGGTAATTTGCATTCTTCATATTTGTGAACATTTTCAGGCTTTGTGTATGCAACATATTTCCCTAATAGAATACAAGAGATAATGCCGTTTTCTTTTATTATGGCGTATAGCTGCTTATTCCCCAAAAGTGAAGACAATATTTCAAATATATTTTAATTCAAAATATAGACACTAAGCTTAAACTTTGAAGGTTGACAACTATGTTTGTTTGAGTGTAGGCCATTATTTGCTATTAATCAGTGATGCCTAAATTTTTTAATATACTTATTTAATATAAGGATCACCATAGAAATAATTAATAACTGAGGCACTTTTAAGAGTTAAAGGGGATGTTATTTATAATTGTATCAGGGCAAACATAGATGTAGAGTCCCTCTAGTTAAAGGGAAATTCTAATCAACTTAGAAAATGTGGAAATGTGGATGAGATGGTAGGTTCCTGGTGAACTGCTTTCACGAATGTTGGTTCAGCAGATTTTTCTAGAGCAGATGGCACAAGGAAGACACTTCATAAACACTTCTTATGCAGATGAATAAAATAATAATCTCTGTGAGAGTGGAAATGTGACATTATGTTAAGTGAATTCTCATGAACACTGGTTGTCTCATTTGGAACAAAAATTTTTAAATGCATAGAGATTTTGATCAGCTCATTGTTACCAATAATACCAAACTCCTAATTGCGCTTGAGAATATTTTCGGACATTTAAAAAACCAAATAAAGTTTTTCAAAAACAATCCCATGATCAAACTATATTTTAAGGGAATAGAGCAGGTAACAATTACACATGGAGAGTTGAGAATTAAATCCTTATCTAAAAACTGACAATTTGGTTATGACCAAATCAATTCAAAGGACCCTGTAGATCTATCATACTACAAGTGAACAAGGTAACTCTTATTACAGTGGGTCATCTGGGAAAAGGCACTA